ATTCACATCACGTGCAGCGCTCAAAAACATGAATAGCGGATGTGGGTGGAAAGGCGGCTAAACTAAAGTGGCGTTGGTCTGAAATGTGTGCCAGATGGACCCAACTCAAACAGATGGGCTGATGGACCAAAGTTACTACCATCTGTACATCAAAAGGTCAAAGGCGGAAAGGTAAACCAAGGAAGAAATTGTTCATTATTGCAAATGATTACAGTACGATATTATTGTTAAATTAATAATGTTGGGCGAGTACTCTGAAAATTTAGGACAAGTTTCTAGCTCCTGTGCTTTTGCGTCGTTAAGACATAGGTTACGTTTAGTTATTAAATACCTTTTCAATAAAATAAAATAAACAACATGTTTACTCGAGGGGTGATTTCTTTAATGAAATATATTAGTGATTTGTGCATTCTTTGTGCGACTTTCTAAAATACAAGTGGTAAAATAAAAAAAAAATCTACAACCGACTTCAATATTAATAAAATGAGAACATCATCAATGTAGTCGAAATGAATTAAATACGCATCATTGAGGATAACTTAAAAAAAGGAAAACTATTGATCTTGAGCTAATTTATATGGGACTACAGGAAAAGCACCACCTTTCAAATAAAACGTACATAAAAAAATACAACGGAACTGAGTGCCTCTATTTTCTAAAAAAATAATAACTTTTTTACAGAATACGCGTGACATACGATCACACAGTCCACCTGATGGTAAGTGCGTTCTGTGGCCCATAGACATCTAAATCCATCCTCGATTAAGAATCAAAATGCAGATACACTGACATCCCTGATAACTAAGATAAAATGCCTCACTTCCAGTGAATAGGGTCTCCGGTTCTCTACAGTAACTATACGAAATACAGCAGCATTAAGCTGTATTTTTATGTTACTATTGTGTGAGTGCATGGTCTTTCCCCGGTAGAGTCGACCATTCGTACTACAATCATACCTAATATAGCTGCAGCGTGGCTCTTTATACGCGTACGCGGATGTTCCGGAACACCGGGCTGTTCCGTTTCAAAGCGCGGCGTGAACATGAAGGTTTTTAAGCACAATAATATGTTGTATTTAAGAAATATACCACAACTTACTCTATAAAAATTATAAGAAACATTTCAACAAAATTTTCGGAACTGCTTTCGTATATTGAATTGTACTCCTTGAAAGCGAAGCGGAGAGGTTGGGCTTTACTGTCGACTTGACAAGGCCACGCTACCCGCTTTCATTAAATCTGGGTTAACAGTTTTTTAAATAGTAAGAACTGCTATTTAAGATTATGTATCGTACCATAGTTTTCTCCTTAGTGTGAATGTAAATAAGACATATCTATTATTGTATTTCTAAGGGAAAATTATACGATCTTCAGACAGAAGTTATCCATCAAATATATTATAATCTGACTGAATATAAAAATGAAACAATTTAACTGCTTTATTCAAACAACTGTATTTTTAATTTGTTTATATTGTATTTTACCCTATTAATAAATTTAACTGAGGATCAAAAAATAGGAGAACATTTGTTTTTAAGTCATTACAGAATCTTTTTAGTACATTAATAAATTTATTGATAGTACGAAAATAACATGTATACAGGTGAGCTGGCCAGCTTTTTGAAAAAAGACTTTAAGGAAAAAACAATCCGTTCATTTCCCAAAACCGAACACAATGGAACAAGAGCGAAGCTATGTGTGCCACTTTTACTCGCGCGACGTGTCGAGTAAAATCTGTGGACACTTGATCAGTCAGTGTCACTCGCTCGAGTTCTGTATTTATCCAATTATTATGGTAATACTGCAATGTGTTCTTGCGTGAAAACATTAATATTGATTGACAAATTAACACGCACTTACCTATGACGATTTTAATACGCTTTGTTTATAGAATTATCGTTTTTCTCTTTAAACTGTGTACACAATATAAAATAATATTATGTTTAATTAAATAATGACCGTGTAGTGGCTGTGTGAATATCCACTAGTCCATATCGTACTGTGGGTGTGGAAGAGGCGACAAAAGGAAACTGAAACAGGAAGTGGGCAGCTGCTTCTTCCTGATATGTAATAAATAAAAATAATAAAAAACTACGGTTGCCCACCTACATTACGAGCGAGGCAACTGTGGCAAAATCACCCATATGAGGAAATTTATTAGTAAGGTCTATATAATTACGGTTATAATGAATGGATGTATATAACAAATAATAATAATGTCCTCCAGACCGAATTTCGGCCACGGCGGCCTGCCTCAACGGAGGTTAGCCATCGGCGTAACAAAGGATTATAGTGCCCGAGTGTATGCGCAAGCACAGGTGCACTCTCTATTCCCTCACTCTCGTAATCCGATGGGACAGTGAACCGACACGACCGGAGAGAGATCAGGCGCAGAACCAACGGCTTTACGTGCTTTCCGAGGCACGGGGATGAGACACCGTCAACTTCCTGACTCCGGACAGCTACTGAGAATTTCTTGACAGAAATACTTAATAATTGATTCTTTGGCCCGACCCGGGATTCGAACCCAGGACCTCATGATTAGCAGTTGCACTACTACAACCACTAGACCAACGAGGCAGTTGGTCTAGTGGTTGTAGTAGTAATGTATGGATGGATATAACAAATAATGACTACAGAAATGAATCGTAATACAGTTGCCGTATGGTAATGGCGTGAAAGATAAAAGAAAAAAGAAAGAAAAAATGCGCCTTTCAAGCGTGTCCATTCTGGCGAAAACAACTGATAACGAATTGAAGTGTAAACTGTAAAACACATGAGTAAAGAAATCTTTACTCTGTGCTGTAGAATACTATCAGAACAAAGACTCAAGACTAGAAATAAAAAGAAATTTTTAAGTCTATTATGAAAAGACTCTATGTTTGTTTGTGATTCGTATAAAACACGTGTAAAAGCATAGTAATTAGCCAATAATACCTTACTTCTAGAACGTACAAGTTGATTTAGGGTATATGAGGCCAGGTAACCTACATATACATATATACAAACATGTATAAGTCATAAACCTACTTTCATACCGCAATACCTGAGTGTTAAACACTATCGCTACTGTTACTACTTTTTGTTTTTGCTGTACTCTTCTAATGAATCCTATAATAATAATACGCTGCTCATGATTTTAAAAATCTGCTACAATAATGAAAAAAGGTATACTATTATTATCTAGACTTATTTATACAATAATAGTAATAGTAGCAATAGATGTCACAATTTATAATGATGTGCCAGACGGAAATATTATGTAGTTTGTTATTGTAGACGTAACTTGTATGTTCGTGTAATAAATGTGTTACAAAAAATTGTTTAACCCTGCAGGCCTTCTCTGGAACTTCCCGCTAATTTCAACATCAAAGCGCTCCAAATTCCACTTCTTGCTCTTCGAGTTCAAAAACGTATTAACTTTGGAAAACCACGGTTTTTAATTTTTTTCAAAATTGAATATTTCATAAGCTAATCAACCGATTGTGCTGTGATTTATGACAATCGACATAATTTTTCTAGCTTAACCAAAAAGCTTCTTACAAAAACTTGATTTTATGAAAAGATTTCAAGTTATTTTGAAAAAACACTTTATCGATATTTCATTCGTCAACGGTATCTCTAGAACGAATCAACCGATAACCGATGTCGATGTAATTCCAAGAAAATTACTTTTTGAAAATTAGAAATAATAAAAATTTTCTTTTTTTAAATTTAGACCGACTCAACCGTGACGATTCGGTCTAAATTTACAGTAAATCTAAGTTCAGCAAGGTTCTTTCAGATGCCGAAAACCGATTTTCGACACACATATTATACTTACAAAACTTTTTTACGTGGTAGAGCCATGCTGCAGTTATATTATAGCAAGAACATATAGTTGTACATATAGTTGTAGCACGAACAGGTCGTCTCGACCGGGGAAGGACCATGCCCTCACAGAATACCAGCGTCAAATAGCAGCTTAATGCTGCTGTGTTTCGTATGTTGAGTGTAAAGAACCGGAGACCCTTTTTACTGGAAAAGAGGCATTCCATCTTAGTCCTCAAGGCTGACAACGCATGTTCATTTTGATTCGCGAACGAGGATAGATGTAGATGTCTATGGGCCACAGTAACCACTTACCATCAGGTGCACTGTGTGCTCACATGTCACCCTTTTCCCATTAAAAACGAAACACACTCACACATTCACACTTACACACACCACATAAACACTCACACACGCATGCACTCGTGCGCACACTTACACACACATAAACACACACTCACACACACTCATCCATACACAACACACAAATCATCTATTGTGTTTTATACTGTTAAGAAATTCTCAATAGTAGCCTAGAGTAAGGAATTTGGCGGTGTTTCACCACCGTGTTCCGTAAAACACGTAAAGCCTTTGATCTTGCGCCTGATCTCTCTCCAGTCATGTCGGATAGCCGTTCCATCGGACTATTGGAGAGTGAGGGAAAAGAAAGTGCATTTGTGATTGCGAATGCACTTGTGAACTATAATCTTGTCCCGCGCAGATGACTAATCTCAGGTGAAACTCATCGTCGTGACCAAAATTTGGTCTGGAGGACACTATTTTGTTTTTGAGGCAAACAAAAACATTTTTAACAAGTTTTTTTAACAAGTTTTAGGAACAAAAATATAACACAGGTAAAAATTCTAAAATTGGGCTCGATTCCTTATCATAGTACAAACAAAAACCAATTAAAATTCTAATGGATAATAAGTTAAAGACAAAGAAAGAGTAGAAAACGCCGTTCGCCTACAATTTTATGTTGTTATCATGGAGATAGTGCTGCCCATCTCCTATATCATTTCTCTATGTCACCTTTTACGACACTCACGGGATCACAGAGGGTACTGCACTTACTTACACCGCTACCACAAGGCAAAAACATAAAAGCATTAGTGTTCGAGAACATGGCGTGCTATGCGTTCGGAAGTACTGCGAGCTATGACTTTGAAAGTGGATTGCGTTAAAACTTACCAGCATGGGAATATTGGGCACGACGACGGCATCATCGTCGAGGCCCGAGCTTAGTTCTGGCTGGAATGTGTATGTCCTTTTATAGTGGAAGGAGAGCGTCCCGTTCTCGTTGTCGGTTATGTTCACTTTCTCCCACTCTTCCCTGTCAAATAAATTAAATTATTATTTTTCTCCCATGCTACTGTTTACCTAATATAGCATATTATAGCACTTCACGTTTTAATACATTAACATTTACGGTTATTACGACTATGTTTGTATAATAAGTACCTAATAACATTATAATCAGCAGTTTATGTTCATCAGCGGACTTGTGTAGGGCTGTAATGTTGACAATGATGATTATAATTAGTGCAATTTTCATTTATCTTGTCAATTTATTTTATATTAGATAAATTGGGACCGACATAAAGATTGAAAAGATTCAAATTTTGGAGTATAAGCCATAACAATGTACGACGAAAGATGAACCACAGCCTATGAAAGTTCACTGTTTAACATAGACCTCGCCCAGAGATTGCCTCCAGGTGATATTTGACATAGGTGCCACGCTTGGTAAGCGGGTTGGCAACCGCAGTTTTTTATATTTTATCGTTATTAGGAAGACGCTGGTCCCCATCTCATGATTTGCTTTCCTATGTCGGTTCTTACGACCCCAACGGGATAATATGGGGCATTAGATATTCTTACATCGTCACGATTCGGTATAAAGAACTTGTCTAGTATAAAATAGTATTTTGCCACGTGGTTTACGTTGTAAGAGAATCTATTGCGCCACTTCGTCTAGTGGTTACGTAAGAGGCGAATGTGGGAAATGCAGGAGAATGATCTTTTCTACGTGGTAAATCACGCTGCGGGTATACATTGTTATACAAGCCAATGGGTCGGAATGATCGTGGATGGACCACGCTCTCACAGAATACCAGCGTGAAACAACAGAATAATGCTACTTTGTTTCAAATGGTAAAAGTTGAAAACCGGAGACCCTTTTTATTGATAACGAGGCATTCCAACTTAGTTCACAGGAGTGACAACGCATCCGCAATTAGATTCTTAATCCATGATAGACGTCTATGGGTAATAGCATCCGCTATCCATCAGGTGGACTATGTACTTGTATGTTACCCTTATTCTATATATGAAAAGCACCCCAATTGCGACAGAAGTAAAATATTGTCATACTGATCACAAGAAGCAGCGTTAAAGGTGCAAGACGTTTGCTATTCAAAATTATTCTTTAAATTATTTGTATAACGCTAAATTTTGTTAATCGATTCAGTTAGAAAAAATCTTGGAATGTAAAAGAAAATAATACAATACTAGGTACTTATATATTTTCCAATGTCGGTTGCATTACTTTAAAAATAGTGGCAGATATATTTTAAAAGACGTATGCACCAAGCGTTCTGCAGCATAGTCACATGCTAGACTCAAGATTTATGTTTATAAAATAATAGTTGTAATGAGACTGAATTATTCTTACGACGGAAAGCATAACAACGGCATACAATATTGCGTGCTCAATGATTATTCTACTAGCATATCTGTGCCTCATTGACATTTAAATAAAAATTAGTAATCTTTGAGACATTTATGTTCAAATAGTCAAATACCCGAACGCTATTCAATTTTAAGATGTCCTAAGTCTCGTGGCGTCACATTCACTTTGACTTAAAGTGATAGAGACAGAACGAGATTTAACGGCATCTTAAAATTGAGTAGCGTTTGAAAAATATTGCACCGAATAAACATCAAACAAAATGGTTATTACAAGTTGTAAACAAGCGTCATACAGTAAGGAAATGCATCCGCCAGTTATGCTAAATTTATATGTCTTGTTTTATATCAAGCAAGCAAACGATAGCGTTTTGATTTTAAAAGTAAATACAAGTGTTCATGATGATGTAAAACATTTAATCAACTACAAAGTTATTAGTTGTAGACTGAATCTGCGTAGTATTATATACAGACTGGTTAAGCAACGCATAATTTAACTTTAAACATTTTTAAAGCATTAATAATTTTAAGCTTGACGTTTCGACAAGTTACGGTAAGAGGTAATATGAAAAGATTTATATCATATTAATTATTTAACAAAAACCTGTAGGCAGCTTTGTGATCTTTATGACCCCACTCAATCAACTTATAACATGTAGATGTAGTAATTTTTTTTTATTAAAACATGTTTAATTTGTACTTTGGTGCTATTTTATAGGTAAAATTAAAAACAGACTCACGTTTCACGGTTCAAGGTTTTCCTTTTTTATTTCCAGTGTTAATAACGTACTAAATGTATTAGAACAAACTTTTATTTTAGGTCAATTATCTTAAGGATCAATTATCCAAAATATAAACATAATACGAACGTAATTTATTATCCATACCTTAAAAAAGCTATTGATATGAGCATAACGTACCTTACCTGTAGATAGTTAAATATTAAGGTAAATAAATGTGCTGACTGACTAGGGTTGCCAGACCAATTTTGCCTCCATTTCAGAGACAAAAATTAGTCTTGTCTCCTAATTTGAAACCTTTAATAGAGCACAAGGCAATATCGCACGTATTCGATATTCCCTGTGCTACGCATCGAACTATATTACTATACGTAGAAGAAATACCTCAATGGCGCTACAAATGTTGCTAGTGATACCATAACATCATTTCATTGAAAACAATATGATATTCTCAATTTTCATCCTATGTCCTTTATTTAAGTTGGCAATCCTATTACCCGACCTGTCTGTCCAGCGCGATAAGTCATTTGGTTTTATTAATATTTAGAAAGTACATGTGCGATCGAGTTTTGCTCGGCGCATAGAATTTTTTTTCTCAGGGATGAAATATATTAAGATAAACTGAGAAAGTAAAATAATATAAAAATACAAAATTTCATTCAAATTGTGAGAGCCGTTTCCAAGAGACCAATTATGTTTAGGATTGCTCACTTAAAAGACGTAGTTCATTACACCACTGTGCCTGTAAGGCCCTGAGTCAGAAGAAGCCGAAAAAGGGTAACCGCACTAATATCACAGAATATAGAGTAATGTGTTAAGACAAAGAATTGAAACATCCATTTTAATAAGTGATGCATGACTCGCTCCGCTTTGCCTTTGACTTTAACGGACGATACGATAACAATTGAATAGGACTTATTTATGATTTAATTTTTCTTTGTCTCGTTTAATATTTTAAAATAAGTCGACCTTAAAATGTTTGTATTGTAAGTATAAGAATTGTATTGTAAGAATAATGAAGAATTTTATTATATTATATATACACATATACTTGTTTATTTATATTACAACTACATGGTGAAAGAAGAAATCTAACAACAACGCATTGAGGCAGCTCAGTAGAGAACTGAGAGGATACCAGTTTCAGCAGTAAGACGTATTTATGCATATGATTGTTACTTTAGTTTCTTTTTATAGCATAAACCTCCTGATGGTAAGTGAATGCTGACTGTTGTCACCCCTGAGGATTAAGATGGAATGTCACATTTCCTGTAAAAAGGGTCTCCGGTTCTCTACACTCTACATACGAAACACAACAGCATTAAGCTGTAATTTGATACCGGTATTTTGTGACATTTAGTTTACTTTCACATATTTTACAATTTTTGTAAAGATTTGAAAACCATACCCAAATTGTTTTCATAGCTTTGTGTGTAACTTTGTCTGTATTATTCTATTATGTAACTAAAAAAATAAGTTAAGTATTCATTCATCGTCTACTCATTACAGCCTATCCAAAGACTACCTTATAGTGATCATTTGATCACTATTTTTTATATAATTAGGGTGTCAAACTAGCACACAGTACACCTGATGGTAAGTCGATCCTGTGGCCCATAGACATCTACATTTAACCTCGATTAAAAATCAAAATGCAGATGCGTTGTCCATCCTGAGGACAAATATGGAATGCCTCAATTCCAGTAAAACGGGTCTCCTGTACTCTACACTCACCATACGAAACACAGCAGCATCAAGCTGTTATTTTATGCTGGTATTTTGTGAGAGCGTGTTCCTTCCCGGTCGAGCCGACCTTTTCGTGTTACAACCATAATATAGCTTCAGCAGGGCTATACCACGTAGAAAACCACACTTATTTGTATATCATCATTAATGTTACTATTAAGTGATGTGATTGAATCCGCTATACGAGTTATGTTTGAAGCACTCCTAACATAAATATTTCTGGTTAAACTAACCGTCTATTAATTTTGGCCCACGAACTAAAAGAGTATAATATATAAAATTATAATCACTACATTTACATGGGTTATAGTGCTAGAAGCAGTTTCACACTCACACACCGCTTTCGCGACAGCGACAATGACGCAAGCGGCCCCCTTGTGGCGATTACTTTGGTAATAAATTACGACATATGCCTATGATATAATACCGAACGGTTGAACGGGATGTTGCACTAATGTTGCCAATACGTTAAATTGAAAAGAAGGTGACAATAATCGTTATACTAGGTTGATGCGTTTGTAACCTTATAATAGTTATACTTGGTAGATCCACACTGCAGCTATATTATTGTTGTAGCACGAATGGACCGGCTCGACCGGGGAAGGATCACGCTCTCACAGAATACCAGCATAAAATATCATAGAATACTAGCCGATCCTCATTATAATGCCGTTCACAGTTCGTTCTCGGTTCGATCTTGGTCTGATAATATATTATTAAGTAAAAAATATGTGTGTGCATTCATACTATCCCATTCCATTATAATAAATCAGACCGAGATCGGACCGAGAACGAACTGTGAATGGCAAATAAGAATCGGCCCTAACACTGCTGAGTTTATTACGGTATGCAACTTCATTTTGATTCGTAATTGGGGATAGATGTAGATGTCTGTGAGCCACAGCATGCACTTACTATCAGGTGGACTGTGTGACAGCGTGTCATCCTTATTCTATATAAAAAGTAATAATAGTCGAAATATTTGCAAAATTTTACGACATAAAAAATACAAAAACGTAAGGTTGCGGCCTATATACCTTCCACATCTGGGAACATGCCTCTTCCTATACCTTCAAGTAATAATATAATAAAGGACTAATTAAGGACAGACACTGCGAAACTTGAGGTCGTGCGTTAGAATAATTAGCGATTCGACTACTGTCGTAAATCACTCTTAGCACAAACCTATATACACTCACCGGCACGGAAACTTGGCCAAGCGGTTATCTCGCGATAGCAAAAGCTTTAAGTGTTTCTGATGAATGTTTGTTATGCAAGTATGTCAAAAAATGTTTACCCTCAAGTTCAAGAGGGTAATTCATTATGTTTAAGTGCACCATGACGAATTCTTTAATTTTTAGTTGAATCGGGTCATTTGAGCGACTAAGTTCACATTTTAAATTTGTGTGTTGTGAAAAGTTTACTGTAAGGTTATTCAATTATTGTGATCTTGTGTCTTAATTAAATAACTAAAGGTGCTTTAAAGCCAATAAAAATGCCATTAACACCAGCACAAGTTGCACAAGCAGTAGCATTAATTGACCAAGGGCTGACACAGCGTGAAGTTGCTATTGTGCTTAACGTACCACGGTCCTCAATGCAGTATTCACTGAAACGATACCAGGAGACAGGCCGCTACACCCGCAGGCCAGGCAGTGGGGGCGTAAGGTGCACATCGGCCCGGGACGATCGTTTTATTGTTATGGAGATTTTGAGAAACCGCTACCTGACCGCTGTTGAGATACGCCAGCGGCTCCAAATCGCAAGAGGCGTTAATGTTAGTGAGCGTACGGTGAGAAGACGAATGGAGGAAGTGAATTTAAAAGCTCGTAGACCAGCACGAGGTCCAGAACTTCTCAGACAGCACCGAGTAGCCCGACTTCAGTTCGCAAGAGAACATGTCAATTGGACCCACGAGCAATGGGCTAGAGTGTTGTTCACAGATGAGTGTCGAATAGCTTTACGTGCTCCAGACGGTCGAGAACGAGTGTGGAGAAAAAGAGTAGAGAGGTTTCTACCCATTACCACCACCCAAACTGTGAGTTTCCATGGAGGCTCAATAATGGTATGGGGAGGTGTAAGTTCCGACGCACGTACAGAGTTGGTCATCGTCGATAATCGGCTTACAGCTACTCGATACATCGAGGAAGTTCTTCAGGAGCACGTAATGCCTTATTCGGGATTCATTGGACACGACCAATTCCTCCTCATGCACGATAATGCACGCCCGCACGTCGCACATTGTGTAGAGGAATATCTGGAAGAGGTTGGAATACAAAAATTACAGTGGCCAGCTCGTGGCCCGGACTTAAATCCAATTGAGCATGTATGGGGTATGCTCAAAAGAAAGATAAAGTCCAGCTCCAAACCGCCACAAACTCTAAATGAGCTCCGAAATGCAGCGCTGGCCGCTTGGGACAGCATACCGCAAGTTGATGTCAGAAACATCATTCAAAGCATGCCAGATCGAATGCAAGTGGTTATCAGGGCTAGAGGAGGAAACACCCGATATTAAAATTGATAGACAATAAAGAAACAGACTTAATTTTTAACTTTGTAGTGTTTTTAAAGTGACAATGGAAAGATGTTAATTTTAGTGAAAACATGTTATCTTGATAAGAAAAATTTCGGTGAAGTAAACATTAAATTTCTATGTTCTAAAACCATTAGAGACACTTATTGAATGCATCTACCCTTAATTTACTGTTAAAAAAACGTTTCAGTGCAAATAATCAGCAAATTCACGAGTGGCCAAGTTTCCGTGCCGGTGAGTGTATATGTATATAGAAAAAGAGTGGTTAACGAAGTTATTGCTAGTTATCAGCACTCGTTATTAAAAATATAGTACCCGGAGCGTTTAACCTGCTATTTGTGGGCGGGGCGCAGGAGCCACATACAATCAAGTAAGCTCGCTTGCCGCAGTAATATTAACAAAGGTATACTCACGAGTACACGTAGGGGCCGAGTTCATCGAGTATCGGTTTGGAGCCGTTGTTGAGGAACTCATCAGCGTTGGTGACGTTGTAGACGTACACATGAACGAACGGTCGCACCGGCGGTCGCGCCCACCACTCGAAGGTCATCGAGCCAGGGCGGAGCACCAGCTCCTGTAATACACAGTAAATTGAGTACCGATAGTAAGTTAAAAGTAATAGCATATAACATAAATCAATACTTTATTTTATTTGTATAGCATCGAGAAACCGCGTATAAAAAATCGTAACAGTGTCGTAAGAGACGACTGCGAAAGTGGCCAGAAATACCTACTCTTTGGCCTCCGATAAATAATGTTATACCACTTTTGATATAATATGCTAGGTGGATTTTTAAATAAGAGGGGCGAACGAGCATGCGGCTCTCTTGATGGTAAGTGACTACCGCACCTATGAACAACTGCAACAACCCTGGTGTAGGCAGCACAGGGCCACCTCGACCCCGCAAACTTCCTCAATGAGATGAAACATTACCTTACCCTGGTGTTGTGCGTGCAGGTGCGTTGCCCTTTAAATAGTGTATATAAATACCCAGTGTGTACCCGGTGTATGTAAATACCCAGGCTAGAGAAGCAAAGCAGCGTAATCAAAGATCTTCGATAAAGATTCATAATGCAGATGTGTTGTTCTCTTGAGGACTACGATGGACACCTCGTTATCAGTAAAAATAAGTTTACGATTTTCGTCACCGCACGAACAAAACTGCATTAATCCTGCAATTTAAGTTGATATTCTGTGATAGCGTGGGCTTTACAAGGCTTTGTTTATAAACGAGATGTGACTATACTTCCTGCAAATTATGATTATAATAATTATTATTAAGGTCAAGACCTTTTAATGCTACATCCTATCCTGAAGTGTGGTTCTACCATGTTGGTAAGTTTCACAATTTTAAAATACGAATGCCTCGTTGGTCTAGGGGTTATAGTAGTGCGTCTGCTGATCATGATGTACTGGGAAATTCTCAGTAGCGGCTCGGAGTTAGAAAGTTGGTGGTGTCTCACTCCCGTGCTTTGAAAAGCACGTAAAGCCGTTGGGTCTTGCGCTTGATCTCCCTTCGGTCGTGTCGTTTTACCTTCCCATCGGATTATAAGAGTGAGGGAATAGAGAGTGCACCTGTGCTTGCAGATAGACTTGGACACTATGACGATGGCTAGTCTCCGTTGAGGCATGCCAGAGTGACCGAAATTCGGTCTGGAGGACATTAAGATACAATATTGGTTGTAATTATGAGAATAGTTATTTTAAATTATATGCTTTTTATTAAATATATGCTTTTCCTTAACTATAAAGTGACTGCGTCACCTTTTACTATTAGAAATCTTAATCCAGCACAAGCTTATAATTAATAAAAAAAAATAACTAAATGCCTTCTGTAGAAATAGTAAAGTCATATAAATCTTAGGTACGGGTAAAATTAATACTGGTTCCACCACAACCGCTACGTTAAGGACTGAATCATTGTAATGAATGAACTTCCTAAACTATTACACCGCTGTACACGTCACAGTGAACGGTTTATCAACTGGTAAATATTTAGGTGAAGGCAAGCCGCCGAGCGAGCATAATTGACGATTCGTGCTGCTTTGCGAAACTGCAAGGAGCTTACGGAACAATCGTTTTGCATATTAACAGATGTCGGATGTATTTTTGTTTGAATTATTTTTTGTAGACTTTAACATTTGATGTAGGTCCTTCTCGTCGAGTTAGTCTGCGCTGGTGGCGCTGACGATATAGTCTGAAGATATAGTGCCGTCATAAAGGGTCTCGTACTACTTACCATTTGCGATAAGATCAAAGATACGGAGATCATCTAAACGCAACCTTAAAAACAATAATATTTAAGCACAAATTGGTTTAGGCTGGGATTTGAATTTAGGATTTGGGCCGTAGTACACACGAACTTATATTAGTGGTAACGCTAACACGTTGTGGTAAGTAGTGCTGCCGCGCTTACGCTATTGTTTATATGATGTGATATTAATTTATCATTTATAGGACTACTCATCATCATCATAATAGCTTATGAAAGTCCGATACTGAACGTAGGTCTTCCCATAGCTTTCTAAGGATGATTGGCAAGCGGTTTGGCAACCACAGGTTTTTATTTTCTAGTAGTTATGAATTATAATAAAGACAATGCTTCCCATGTGGCTAGTATCCCTCTGACGCCTTTTACAATACCCACGAGGCGATATGGGGTAGTGGATATTTTAACTGTTACGGAATAGTAATTATATCAATGTTTACTTAAAATAATTTGTCGTGTTCTTGTTTTAAAAAGATAACCGTTCAAATATATTAAGCACTAACTTAAATTAGAAAAAAAATACGTGCTAGAACCACTACAGTGTATTGTGCCTGCAGAAGTATAATATATAATGGGTAGGCTTCGATTAACGTTGGTATTGTTGATCGAAGTGGGTAGGCAACGACAAAAATACAGTCGCCGTCCCATCATTGCAGTTAGATACTCGTACAAAATCATCATGTCCAAGTAATGGCTTAAAACACAAAAGCAGTTGAACTTACAATGATCGTAAGTTAATACTTAAATAGACTGAGCATTATTTTTTAGTACAAATAATCCCATGCCATAGACACTACATAAAGTAAGTACATTCATACGGAACCAACAACAAGTCATAATATAATATGATTGCATAAATTATGTTTAGAGTACCCGTGGTAGCTCAGGGCTGAGCGCTCGCCGTGTATGTCATAGAACGCAAGGAACCCGGGTTTAATCCCCGCCGGCACCGTTTAAGTTACACGGTTGTAGTTTGAAGTGTTGATTTACCACATGCTCGGCGGTGAAGGAAAAAATTGTGAAAGAACCTGAATGTGTCCCTAGAACCTGACCTTTGACGTGCCCTAAAACTACAGAATAAATAAAAATAATAGTTCAAGAACTAAAACTGTCTCTGAAATTAGAGTAGGAATGTGCCCAGCGCACTGGGACGTATATAAGCTATAGTTCTTGAACTATTATTTATTCTGTGGCTTTAGGTGGCTTTGCTTTACTTTAAATAATGTTTTATAATTAAAAGGGTTTTAAAATTTTACCGACTAACATTTTGAATTGTTACATCAGTGTTTAAATATTCTGCAAGAGATTTAAATATGTACAATAAAATTAGACGAATCGCGGCTCGTGATGTTACAACTCAAATTAGAATATTGGGAAGGTTTTACAAACGCAATACTTAATATATTATACTTAAATTAGCACTTAACCTCGAAATACTGCAATGAATTTCGCCACCATTGTACGAATTTACGTAGCAACAAGTGCTTAACGATGCAATGGATCAACAAACACTTACTTTGGATTTTTATTCTTCTTTTATTCACATAAGACGTTCGTTTAAAACAAGTACAGTAGGATCCCGATTATCAGAATCAAATAAAACCAGGCGTATTCCGTATAATTGAAAATCCGGATAATCGATTTCAAAGTCAAATCAAACAATATTTAAATTTTAACCAATTTTTATTATGCAATAGGTTTTACATAAGTCGTTTAATCTATATTATACAAATAATTACGACCTATAACGATAATAAATTTAAAAATATTTAACTACATAATATGTAATTTAAAATTTCGCTTGTTATTGATTTTTGAAGTAATGAATTACATCTTTTCATTGCAGCCAAATTCCTGATGCGCTTCATTTGTAGCAACTGTATGGGAGCTGATTCGTCCTGTCTTTCAAACCACTTAAAAGCAACATCTACTGCTTCAAAAGCTTGTGCATGAGATGGTACTTGACATAAATCCCCAGTTTCAGTCTCTTCATCTTTTCTCTCGTTACAATTCAAATCGTCAATAATTTCTTCATTAGTTAATATTTGGAATCCAGGGTTTCCACTATCGCAGTTCAGCCACGCTTTGATATTTTATTCATCGTACCCTTCGCCAATGCTAAAAATTTTCATTACTTCTGTTTTTTTCCTTGAAATCGTCGTGTGGTATAATTGAAGAATTAAATGGAGTTAATTTCAATAATTTATTCAATACCCTTTTTAATGTTAGCGATTCCACGCTTCTATCAATATAAAAACGATCTTTTAAATTCATTTCCTAAAAAAACTTTTACGTTTCTATTTCACTGTTGTCTGCTGACAAAAGACGCCGCAGTAGCTGCTTTCTGTATAAACCTTTAAAGTTTCAAAGACGCTTTGGTCCATAGGTTGCAATATCGATGTTACGTTAGGGAGCCATATAGCCAATACATTGCCCTCTTTTCTCACATCCTTTTGAAGTTTCTTCACCTAAGGGATAAATGTTTTTTTTATACCAAGTAAGAAAAATATCAGTCTTCATCCACGCTTTTTGTCGGTTAGCGTAAGTTAAGGGAATTTGAACATTTTTGGAACAGCGCAGATTCTTCGATTTACCAATAAGTAGCATCGATGTGTTTCTTTAGCGTTCGCGCAAACCATAACTGTAACTCTATCCTAACTTACTTTGTGTCCTGGTGCTGCAATTTCACGACGCGATGCTAATAATCTGCTTGGTAAAACTTTCCAATTAAAACCTGTTTCGTCCGCATTGTATACAAAATATAAATCGTATTCTTTTCTATTTAAAAATTCTTTTAACTCGTCTACAAAAAATCGGCTGTAGCAACGAGAAAAACTGTCTGCTAAAGACAGTTTATCTCCTTGAATCTCCAGTTCTCGAATTCTATGTCTAGATTTGAATCTTGCTAACCATCCACAGCTCGCCTTGAAAGAAGTATCACCCACCGAGCTTTTGATTAAAATTCAATGCTTTTTCACAAAAAACCAAGTAAAAACTGCGTTCTCCAGAATTTTTGAGATTTTTTCATGACTTTGCGAGCTTCCAACTTATTTGTCAAGAACAAATAAAATAAATACTGATCCCAAAATGAGATGAATTTCATTATGGGATCAGAATTTATTTCAATGCCTGTTATATTAGAAGTTCCTACACGATATATTTCATCCAACTTACTGCCAGATTCACCATTTTTATACTCTCAATTATATTCACGTTGTCTTTAAGAGACAACACTACTCTTTTTCGCTTGGACGTTTTAGATTTCCAATGCAAAATTATATAAAAATAAAAGACAACCTATCAGTTTAATTCTATCAAATAAAATGAAACAATAAACACTACCGAGCAAACAAATGAAAGCGGGAGTACACGTCGGAGGCGGGAATAAACTCTTCGTAACAAGTCTCATTGCGCCGTCAAAACATTTTTAAATCGGCAATTAAAGCCGTGACGAATGAGTCCGGATAATCGGGATTCTACTGTAATAGTAAAGTGTTACTTGTGCGTATTGTGTCTTTACGTGGTAGCGTAAAATAGCAGCTTAATGCTGCTCTGTTTTATTTAATTAGAACATTATAGATAACAAGCTATCTTTTGAAATATGTCCAATGCAGGGCTTTTTTTCTGAATAGAAGTCTGTCTGGGTTGGTGTAACCCTTTTATTTATTTTCTGCTTATTTCTTCCAAGACGATGTACACACACAAAGCTGTGTATATGTTTGGATAAGAGAGTCGGTGTAATTGCAGGTGTGAGGCATTCCACTTTAGTTCTCAGATGTGACAACGCATCTAACGCCCTTTTCGATTAAAGTTATAATAGTTTTAGGTCTTTATTATAAATGAGATTATCGATTAATTTGATAATACAGGCTTTTTTTGTTTTGCCAAAATTAGTAGGTTTGATTTTCCTACGTCTTGTTTTCTCACACACAATATAATTCTGTCTTTAAATATAATTGAAATAACAAAAAAAAAATGCCAGCATAATAAATTATTCGTATTTTTACAAAATATTATCTACGAATTACGAATAATTAACTGAATATTGTGCTTTTTATTTTTAGTCAAAATATGTTATCATACGTCAGACGCAGAGATCTCAATCGATCTAATTCAAAAGTAAGTTCACGGCTTTAATAAGAAAATGATGTGTGAAAACAGGACAATATTATTACGAATAATCTTTATAGGAACACAATAACGAAAGGAATACGAGTGAATGCACAAACGGCCGTATTCTGTAATATAAATATATATTTTACTTACATGATCAATAAATAGTCTGACCCAGGTCCCGAAAAATATCGCGCATATAATGCCGAGTAGCAGCAAAACTACAGCGGTGGCTAACACGAACCCTGAAATCAAAAAGAGCACATTAATATCTTCATAATTTAACGGTCTTTAAAAAAACAATTTATTCTAAAGTAACTGTAAGTAAAGTGTGACCGGGGAAGTAAAACCTTGGCGTAATCACACGTCCACAAGTCCACTGCTGTACATAGCAATATAAACATAACGATATTTATCAATTCCAAATAATTGTCATTATCAAAACCACTGTTAACATCAATGTTTTAGTCGAATTAAACACTTTTTTTATTCTTTATCAGCTCCAAAGTTCACTGTTGACTCCCATATATGGCCACATCCGATTTACGAACGATTTGCCTTAATCGTTATGCAGTTCAAATGTCTTGTTCCTTTGGCGCTGCTTTTCATTGGCAGTCTGGGTATTTTACATCTGGTGTATAGTATTAATTTCGGTACACCCGGAGGCGCACTTATTTTATTTTATTTTTCATTGCTATTATTTTATTATTTTTTAAGTGCTTGTGAAATAAATGTTTTTCTATTCTAAGAATAAAATAGTATTCTTTATTAAATATGGTTATTGTAATAAAATACTAATATAAATAATAAACACAAGTTAGCAAAGAGAAAGCCGTGGTAGCTCAGATGGTTAACGCTCGCTGTAAATATGACAGAACGTGAGTAACCCGGGTTCGATCCTCGTCGGCACCAATAAAATTGTTAATTGCAATTTGAAGGAAAATATCGTGAGGAAACCTGCATGTCTGAGGAATAAGAAAAAAAATATTTCGAAGACATGTGTAGTTCGCCAACACGCATTGGAGCAGCGCATCGGACACTTCCTTGCCCTAAAACCCTCTCAGTAATGAGAGGAGGCCTGTGCCCAGCAGTGGGACGTATATAAGCTGTAACTTTACTTTTTTTACTTTCAGCAAAGAGAATTTAATTGAAAAATAAGAGTAGTTTTATGTTTAACTAACATAAACGAAATTAAAATAGACACTATCCTTCATTACTCGAAGAGTCGGAGTCATTGCCATCTGTATGTACTAAAATAAGGAATTCAACGTAATCACGTTCTGAATCTTTACTAAAATAGTATTTTTCATCTTGAGGCACTTCACTGTCCCGCCAATGATGAAAAAACATTTTATGTGTACGTTGCAGAGACAGACCCTTAAAAAGTTAAAAGATCTGTTAGGCTCTCTCTTTGCTTCCAACTCGACTTTCGATGACGGGGGGAACACACCGCCGACCATCCCGCGGTGTGTATACTCGTCTCCCTGGACGTCAGCAAGTCGAGTGGGCCTGATGGAGTCTCTCCTTTTGTGCTCGTGACGTGTGAAGACGTGTGCTCCAGAGTTGGCACCGGTTTTAACGCGTCTTTTCCGGTACGCCTACTCCCAAGGCGTAGTCCCAAATTGATGAGACAGCTTTGGTTCATCCGATCCCTAAAAATTGCGACCGCTCCGACGAAACCTATCACCATCTATATATATATATATATATAATAAATAAACTACTGTCCTATCACCATCACCTCCTTGTTTTCCACAATATAATGGAGTGGAGTCTATTGTAAGCTGCCAGTTTATGAGGTACCTTGAGGATCACCAGCTGATTAGTGATCGCCAATACGGTTTTCGTTGTGGTCTACCTGACTCATTGGTCGTTAATTTTGACATAGCGAAGGCCTTCGATCGGATCTGGCACAAAGAGCTTCTTTCGAAGCTCCCTTCCTATGGGCTTCCCAAGAAATTGTGCGATTGGATCACTAGTTTTCTTGCTAATCGGAGCATCAAAGTCGTAGTAGACGTAGTAGTCTATTAACGCTCGTGTTCCACAAGACTGCTTGGTCACCAAGGCTGCTTTTTCTGCATATCAATTATATGTTGCAAACTGGTAACATTCGTCGCTATGCAGACGACAGCACTGGTGATGCCTTATACACCGGCCGTGCCAATATTTCTGGGGAAAACGCCGCCGAGTACTGGGACAAACTTGTCTCTGAAGTCGAGTCTTTGCTTAACAGTTAAGTTAAGTCTCGAATTGTGGGCGAGTAAATCTTAGTCCAATTCAATTTCTAGAATACACAAGTTTGCGCGTTAACCGCTAAAAAGCGTATACTGACTCTGTGGAGTCGAGTTAATGGTAAGGTATAGCTAGTTCCTAATATATACACAAGTTTTGTGAACATATATAAAAAATTGTAAATATACTGAGAGGCCAAAGTTATTATACATTATAAGTATTTCTGAAAATTTTGCTCTGTCTCTTTCTGTTTTAGGTTATAAATGGCTCTTATGGCCCTCTTTTGTAAAGGAAGTTTTGTCTAAGTCAGAGTATAGATGACTGTATCACATATATGAAATTAATGTTAGAAAATACAACATTGTTAAAGTTTATTTCAAGATAGTACCAGAGATCGCTTTTTGTGAAGCTTAAAGTAAAAATATTAAAAAGCTAGGCGGACGGATTTGCGAATTGCGGTCATCGTACTAGACGCCTCCCACTGCTGTTCCGCAGGAAGGTCAGGGTATTTTTTTTTGGTATAAATAAGATGGTTATACCGTCATCTCTGGGGAGCTATATCAAAACTTTTTGGCATTTTCCACTGTCCTCCACCTCTTACGACACCCTCGGTGGGATTAGGGTGATGGAATAATTACGTCGCCACCATACGGCAATAATAGAGTAAAAATAGAAAAATGTTAAGTAATTTGTGTGTTTAAATAAAAACTAAACTAATTGGGAAATAACATTAATGAAACCATTAAGCCATTTAGGTCCTCTTACATAATTATAATCTCAATTGATTAAAGGAAAAACCAATTTCGTCTCTGTCGAAAGTCCTTATAGGTATGTATATGTATTTTGGAAAATCCAGATTAATTTAACGCTAAAACTTACTAGTAAACTAGTATTGCCATTCTGGAGAGTACATAAAAAAAAACTAATTGTATACTGTAATATAATACCAGCGTAAAATAGCAGTTAAATGTAGCTGTTTTTCGTATGATGAGTGTAGAAAACCGGAGACCCTTTTTACTGGAAACGAGACATTCCACCTAAGTCCTCACGGATGACAATGCATCTGCATTTTGATTCGTAATCAAAGATAGATGTAGATGTTTATGAGCCACAGCAACCACTTACCATCAGGTGGACCATGTGCTCGTTTTTCATCCTATCCTATAAAAAAAACGAGGTAAATATACCACCATACACATATAGGAAAGCATAATATGTATGGTTTTCCAACTATGTGAATTTAACGCGCGGATTTAAAAATAACGATAAACATACAGGGTTATCGGTTTTTTGACCTATTCCTGCTAGGAAGTTGTAGGAGAGGTTATTACCGATAAATTAGACCATAAAGTCTCTCAGTAAAAGTGAACCAGTTATGAGAAAAAACAACTTAGTTTTTTTTAAATTTATTGAGGTAAGGCGTTTTAAAATTAATAAAAAAATTATTGACGGCAATCCAATTTTTTTCTCAATTAAAAGACATAACAACCATTCATTATAAACACCAAAACTAGAACGGTCTGTCTACATTAGAAAACACCAGACGGAAACATCATGAATTTTAATCTATTTAATTAAAGAGTTCCAAAAGAATGACAAATAATGACAAACAGGAAACTAGTAATCTTAACACATACCTATTCCTAATGTTTGTTGTTTAGTCCGCCGCCTGTGATAGTTACAACATAACGATAACACAGCTAAAAAAATCCGGAACTTAATGAATGCTAGTCAGTCCATGCTGTTTGTATCGTTCAGACGCTGTCAGGAACCATTTAATAACTCGGTTTCCGGACAGTGGTTTCTCATCTTGAGCCTGGGCTAGTGAACCAGTTTTGTGATTGAAGGCATGTAAAGGACATGTGGTAGTGCTAACATAAACAAACAAATGTTACAAAGCTACGAACGTTATCATGTCAGAAAAACATAATCGAAATTGCCGTTATGGCTAGCAATATGCTAATGAAGAGTACGCCAATATTGCATTTTGTTACGGCTATTGTGCAGGTGAATCTGCAGCTGTGAACATTTCACCGGACATTTTTTTAAATAAAACATGTTCTAGTTTAAACCAGTGATAATCTCTCGTTAATTAGATGGTATGGTAGGATTTGTTATCTGCCTAGGAGCATAGAATAAAGAATAATACTACGTACAGAAGTTACAGTTCTTTGATGTTGACTGCTTGCCGACGTTTAGTAGTCTACATAATAATTATAAGCTAAATAAAACATTAATCAATAGTGAAAACGTGAATAAGCACTTTGTGATTTGTGAATCAGTGTAAAAGTAAATTTTTGATGAATGTTTCGTACGTGACATATATAATTTATAAAGTAAATTATATACTGTAACTTCAGGCGCAGAATGGCTAGAACTCAGAGCTGTAAAGTCAGTTAATAAAAAAAAAACTAAATAAAACATTATCGCTGCGCGCGAATCCGTACTACTTTGCACCTTTTCCCCTTCCTACGTCACGGCGGACTTTCCGTGGTTATTAATAAACAGTAAAAAACACATTGCGAAATGTTAATTAAGTTACTTAGGTGAAGTATATTCTAACTATGATCGCCTGACCATATTTTCGCATCTATATCAGTTGTGCGATGCCCAACGCATGCAACTTGCAAGGCCACTCGTCGAGAATCGCGATGCTTGACTCGGACTAAATAGGTAGATAGTGTAAACAATAAATAAACCTGAAATCCTGAAATAAGATTTCTAACAGAAATGCGATCGTATTCTATTTGAAAAATCTTGTTAGTAAATAAATTTTTAATTTCAGTATTTTGTGTTATTATAACTTAAAATATTTTATTACAAAATACAAGTATAGATATGTAAGTAGACATTTGGATAGTGAAGTAAATTTCAACTAAGTTTTGCAATAATAAATAGATACATTATTATTTAATTTTTTTGCTATAAGTATCTAAAAAAATTAAATTAATTCACCTTTCATAACTACCTACTAAAATCCTTCGGTAACTTGAAGAATGATATACCTACTCGT